TTCTCCTTCTGAACACAAAGCTCAGGGTCTAAATTACGTATGTACGAAGCTTCCAACACGGCAAGATGTAATAAAGACCTACCACGCGACAAAACAGAGAATACATCATCGGAATACCACTCACGACAACTAGCACTGCCCGACAGGTGACACTTGATTGCCGATGTCTTGTTTCCCTGACCCGACGACTTGGCCGTTGTCACCTCCGATCCTGCCGCTTGCCAGTCTCTCCCATTACGCCCTGCGTCCCTGCAATTGAATTATTCCGATTGCCTGGGTCGACATCAGTGTGATGCTCCACGTCCAGTTTGTCCTGCTTCCGTGGTCTACCTCGTTTCTTCACATTAACCGTTGTTGTCACTTCCAGTATTGGTTCTTTTGACTCCCCATCAATTCGTCTCCTCAATTGGCTTCTGGTGACTCGTCCGGGGCTCGATTGTTCAGATGTCAGTTTCGGTGGCTTCCGTATCGCCCAAGGCGGTGGGGTCGACTAAGCCGAGGCCTCCTTCACGGCATGGGAAAGCAAGGAACCTTCACTCACGTGGGTTTACTGGCTTACCGCACAGGGCTGGAATGAGGACATTGGTGATGGTGTCTTCCAGCGGGGCAAGATTTGCAGCAGCACACTCCATGACTCGGCAAAGGAAGGACCAGCGATGCCTTATGCCTTGGGTGAATGCTGCATAGGCAGCCTGTGGCTGGGATTCGGCAATCTTGGCCAAGGACACGATCTCGCCTTTCCACTCGCTTGCCTTCTGGGAAACATAGCTCTGGACGAACTCCGTTGATCCGAGTGCGGCACCTAGAAACCGGTGGCCGTCGGTAGCATTTGCTACGTACCCATATGCCGGTCCTTTCTGTCGCAGAATATCCCTCCAAGCGCGTAGTCGTTGGACTCTGCCGCCCGCGGAGGAGTTGTCTGCCAGCCACATCTGGATCGTTCCCTCAGCCTAGAGAGCACGGATGAGGGGTAGAATGCCCAGCGCATACATCGGCATCGCGATGGGATCGCCTTGGGTGGTGCCCTCTGCCGACATGATGACGCTGCCCCCAACAAACAGCTTTGCAGGTTGTCGGTAGCTGTAAATAACGAGTGTCGACAGGGATGGGCATAGGTGACGCATGTTGCGCAGGCATGCTTCCCTTTCGATCCCGCAGTCCTGGCCTGCACACAGTTGAAGGGTGCCTGCTGCCTCTTGAATATCCTGACCAATTCCGTACAGGATGGCCTTGCCCACCACTCTCCGCATCACCTCGCCAATCCCAATGGGTCTAACCCCTGGGTTCTTGTTGAAGGGGATGTAATGAGTCGGGATTCCAGGTATGCTTCTAGCGATCGGGGGTCGACAAATTCGGTCGCCACACGTCGAGCAGAGCTTGCCAGCGCATCGCATAGCGAGTCAGACGCATCGGAGAACATTGTGCATATCCACCTCCATGCCTCAGCGTCTACAACTGACGGGCCGTTGGGTCTACACAGCTTCACATAACAGCAGTACATTTCACCTAGAACAACGGCAAAGCTTGGCCGCACCAAACACGACACGTTGCTTGAACAATTTCAACTATCTTTCTGTACACACAAATTAGGCTTGTACAAACGCTGATAAATGGCTTCCAAAACCTTTAAACTGTAGTCCATAATAACCATAACGGCCACGGCACAGTGAAAGAAGAGTCGGAATACGAATTGCAACAATCAGGACTAGCTAGCAGATGATTGTACACTGAGACTTGCTACCACGAAACCTACGCACAACACTAACACTCTCACCGGCACTCTCACCGGCACTCTCACGATCACCCCCATCATCGCTCTCCGACTCACTGCTTCCTTCGCCATCCTCCGATTCCTCTGCGCTCTCTCTGTTTCGTCCATCCCGCCTGGCCCGGTCCATTGAACCTGACTCGGCCGTCAACCTGCTGTCACGTCCCTCCTTTCGCCCTTGTCCGTTGAATGCGTAGCTTCTGTTGTAGTTGGCTTTTGATCGCCTTCGTCTTTCAGTATACTAGTAGTGGGCTTGCATGGTAGTAGCATTAAATTTTTACCGTTCACGATAACTAATTACTTACTTCGACCGTAGTCGTAGATCTACGAGTCGGCCTGTACCGTTTTGTGTGTGTTTCCAAGACACTGTACTGGTTAGCATTTCGGTTTCTGAGTCAAATAATTCTGACGCAACGTTCGACTTGTGACGTATATAAAGTCACGTTACTTGTAGTTGTAGTTTCGTTCTCCCGCTAAACAGAGCTTTCCATCGTCGAAAAGTAGGTGTAGGAGTACCGTTGGATTTAGCGCGAACGGTAAAATGCTAACCTGAACCATGTCTACACACACACAAAAAACGGTATTAGACTGGCCGACCGCCGAAAATAGCGTGAACGGTAAAATGCTAACCATGTCTAATGTTTTGGGCGAAACTGAACGGTACGACACTGTCGGGTCTGAATTTGCCCTGAACCAGAAGCATCGGATTTTGTTTGAAGTTTTATTTTACATCGCAAACCAAACGGGCATTGATGCCCAATATTATGATGGCAATACGGATAGAATAAAACGTGTGGCTCGATAAAGCTGCACTTGAGAAAATGAGAAAACAGTCAATAGGAAGTATATGGACCGGTAATCACTGGTAATTCCAAGGACTCTCTTTGTGATGCACTAGGCCTATGTGCTCGCCGTTTGGCTGCCCAGTACGTCGATCCGCTGGCCTTGGAGGCCTATCTCGCCTCCCGATTGGTCCCTCTGGACAAGAACCCATGGGTGAGACCAATCGGGATCGGGGAGGTAGTGCGCCGAAGCATCCTGTTCGTCATTAGCGACGACATCCAGAAAGCAGCGGGAAGTTTGCAACTCTGTGGTGGCCAGGACTTCGGCATAGAGGCAGCCATTCATGCCATGCATCAAGTCTACGCCCAAGAGGAAACGGAGGGCGTCATTATGGCGGACGCGGCAAATGCGTTCAATAACGTGAACCGCAATGTCACACAGTGGCCAACTTGTATGTGGCAGGGGAGTGTATTCTGTCCCAAGAAGGCACAGCCCAGGTGGACCCCCTGGCGATGCCTTACTACACCCTCCGCATCCTCCCACTTGTGAGAGCAGTGGCAACCTAGGACACCTGTCAGCCATGGAACGCGGACGATTCATCTGCAGGTGGTCGTCTTGTAGCAATTCGACATTTTTGGGGCAGGCTGAAGGTCCGTCCTACGGATATCACCTCAATGCCCGGAAGTCTGTGCTTGTTGTCAAGCCACATGCCTACGACGAAGCTGTGCGCCTCTTTCCTGATACTGGCATCCAAGTAACATCTGACGGCAACCGCTACCTGGGTTCCGCTATTGGCACGCCCGACTACATCCACGGGTACATCCAGGAGAAGGCCAATGAATGGTGCAAGCAGATTGAGACTTTCTCATCTTTCGTTCGTACCCAGCCCCTCCTCCCCCCCCCCCCCCCAGCGCACACTCCTTTTGTTCGTGCTCTCTCATGCCGCTGGACATTCTTGTGTTGTGTTCTGCCGAATGCATCCAGTGGTCTGGATAAGTTGGAACACGCCATGCTACATCTATAGTGTTATATCTCGGCTATTTATCTCATAAGCGGCATCTTCGGTAAGCCAAGCGACTAATTTTTCATACTTCTACATTGGCGGCTTCGGCATAAGTCCATATACTCACGCATTCTTTCGCTAGCACAAAGTCCGTACTATATTCTACACCTCTGCCGAACCAAAACCAACCTAAAAACCCACTATATATCCCTACTCACATTTTATAAATTTTTAGTCCACGGCTTTTCTTTAAAGCGTCCCCTGATGAGCTACAGACAGCGAAACCGGTCGGGATATGGACTTCACTCTATTCACTCTACGCATTCTAATAGTTCGACAAATACACTCGCCATGCTGCCCTACTGCGGCTTTGCCTTATGCATCTACTAAACCCCCACCCCCCCCCCCCCCACCCCCACCACCACCACCACCACCACCACCCCCCCCCCCCCCCCCACCACCACCACCACCACCACCACGAACAAGAACAACAAACACACCCACATACACACACACACACACACACACACACACACACACATACCTGTCCTGTAGAGCCACTACCACTAGGGTCACGTGGGCCCCGGAGGGGCAGCAGAGAGAGAGAAAGAGCACGCCACCCGATGGCGCTCCAGATGCGAGACTAGTTGGAACCGGCGAGAGCAGATACACATATGCGGGAACTTGTCCCGTTCTCTGGCCATTGGTCGGTGGCAGTGCGTTGAACAGCGATGGCGGTTGCGTCCCTGGGTTGAGCGGAAACAACGATTGCAGGTGCCACAGTGAGCATTGCAGCACCTCTGAGCGGTATTGTCACCGGTGACAACAGCACTGGTTCGGTCGGTACTGGGCACGAGGTAGAAGCGGAGCAACGATGCACAGCCAAGCCTCCGCGGCTCCGGAACCAACGATGACACCGAGGGCACTGACATGCACCTCTCTGCTCCGAAACCGGCTTCTGCCGTTCAGCCAAGCACTTGTGCCTAGCGAGGTCACCCTGACGTGTGAAGTGCCGGGCGCATGTAAAACAAGTCACCGGTGCCGGTACGAGGGGATCCGGGGCGTCCGAGGTGTAAGCCAACCTCCAGTCTGGGCGAGAGTCACAGGCCACTCTGTACCAGTCCGCTTCAAGGTCTCGTGAGCGGAGGTCCTTTACAGCGCAGTCTTTCCACCGCCGACGTGGGCCATGTGCCGGGCGACGAGATGGCAGGGTACCGAACAGCAACTGTTTGGGCAATCGCACGTCGTCCATGCGGGCGACATGGCCTAGCCACTCGAGGCGCCGATGCTGAACCTTGGTGACGATGGTTTCAGAGTCACCCCACCACTCAAGCAGCTGGTTGTTGGATATGTGGTCAACCCCCCCCCCCCACACACACACACACGCGCGCACACACACACACACACGCACGCACAAACACATAGCGAGGCAGGCATGCACGGAAGAACAACCTGCAACTCAATGATTCAGAATTATAGCCCTTCATTGCGATATATATTCGATATTGCGATACAAGTAGTCAGAAAAAAGCAGAGTTCACAATGCCGTGATTCAGATCAATTTGAGAGAAACTGAATGCAATTGCCGCTCATCATGGGCATGTGTAAGCTCATTCCTAGTATCACCTACAATGAGATTAGATCGATTCAAGTAGAGTCAGATAGAGGCTCCATTGGATATGAACTGTCGAGTCGGAAAAGGGTTGAGGAGAATGTTGTGACTGCACTGCCTTACAGGAAGAACCCACATTAGTCTCTCACGTTCATCCTCTTCCCCTCCTGAACTGGTCCGTGCGAGGTTTCAGTGCAATAACGTGGCATGCATCATAACAGTGTTCTCAGAACCTGGATGTTACCACCATATTCTGTTGATAATAGTGTCCACCAATGACTCCAACAGTAAACATTTCATACTCCTAGTATATCAACTCTGGAGAATCCAGGCGCCATAAACTGTGAACATAATCAGGGCCAGAATAATTGGGCAAGTTTAGGGGAAGTGCATATAATTATAACTTTTTCCTCTTCTCTATATTTGCAGGGCAAATCCAGACTCTCTTTAACAAAGATATTATGAGCATCATGTGATTTTGGCTGTGATATTGAAGCCATCTTTCACCGGGGCAATATGCTATACATCAGAGATGCTGGTTGCAGGGAAGGGCGAGATGAAGACAGAAGAAAGAAAGAAGCATGAAAGACAGACCTAAGATGAATAGGAAGAATTCAGTTCAAATACATATGCGTACGCAAAGAAGACATATCCCCTCCAATCAGCAGTTAGATTCGGCCTGGTCGTCAACAACAATAACGTGGACACAGCAGTAGGAACAGGCGATACAGACCAAATAAAGGAGCCAATTGAGGTTAATGATACATGCGTACATTGATGAAGAAGAGGGAAGAAGAAAGAGAAGAAGAAAGCACAGAATGCTCAGCTGTGACTAAATATTTCCTGGAAGTAAATTTGGTGACGAGCACCTTCCACAGAATACGTGACAACAGCTCTTTTCACATTGATATGCATCAATAAATAGCTCCAATGACATTAGACATGAGCTTCCACATTCTCGACCTCGATGTCATCGTCATCCTTGGTGAGCCCTTCCTTAACCTTCATCTGAACACCCTTGTTTGGTGAAGAATTGGGAATCAGTGAACCTCGCTTCTTGCCGGAAAATGTCACCGAGGCAGAGAGTCTCTGGCGGCGAATAAGAATGCCAGCCAGTACTATTATCAACAAGCCACCACAACTACTACCCACAGCAATGTAGATGATTGAATTATCTGTGGCAGTTGCTGCTGCTGCAAAACAAACAAAGGGGCAGTAGAGACAAAGATACACATAATTCCAGGTCCCACAAAATGTCCAAGTGATCAGGCGCGTACGCAGGGTAGGATCGAGGGAGGTTTCCATTATTATGAAAAAGAATTGCCTCGAAAATATTCAGAACGCTTTTTGCTTGTACACTTTTTGGTTCATGTACATGTCTGTACTCTGGAAGGCCAACGGGAATGGGAGAAGCAGTCTCTAAGACCATTCCCGTCACAGGAAGTAAATCACATCATTACTTACGCTCTTTCTGCATGCTCTGTATGGTGATCCCGAAATAATTATTATTGTTCATGTATAATGAACAGTTAGTACTCGACACACTATCCACCTTTATGAACACACTTCATTTGCCAACCAACTACACATCCTTATTCTACTTCTTACACCGTACTCTGAACACAGCAGGGAGTCGAGTACGACTCCGTACATTTGAGTCTGAAAAGATGAAGCTGGCTACGACGAGGGTTTCCCCTCAGATCTTGGTTAGTCCAGAAAGAGTGAGTTTGAAAGGGGAATGTGGACAATTGACACCGCTAGATTCGAGTGTCAATATTGTGATTGTCCCAATACTTGAACCAGCCCAGCACAGAGAGACCAGAGATGCACTGGAGGTATAGCAAGATACTGTAAATATACAAAATTTCGGCACTTCACGATTTTGACATTTCGGCGGCGATTTATTTCCGGCGTGGGGTAGAGGGCATGGTATAGTGTGACAGATACTGTGAAAAATTTCATCGGCGTTTTGGTTCGGTGCCGAATATAGCCGAAATTAAATAGCTGCCGAAAATTTGTATATTTACAGTACATGTACGCCAGATATACAGTGGAGATTGGATATAACGACACTCTTTTGGGAGAAAGCAAAATGTCGCTATATTCGACCTGTCACTAAACCCGATCTTCACATTTAGTATGCAATATGTATATCAAAATGACAGAAATGTATTGTAGAAATGTACATGATTGTACATGTGGATAACAGATGTGTATGATTGTACAGTCATGTGTCTTGCATGCATTGTTCAAGGTAAAGTCATCCCGCAACGCTGCACTGCGGCTACAACGTGCAATGTAAAGCACACATGAGTGACCCGGAGGTCCGGGCACGTGGCACAGCCATAATATACCATGTAACTTAATTGTTCCAGACATGCCAGTCTGCCTGATACAAGAGGAAAGTCGTTATATCCGATGTATTTTCACTGTTTTTCAGGTCTTTGGGCACCAAAAAAGTGTCAGTAAATTCGATCTGTCGTGATTTTCGAGGTCGTTATACCCGATCTATAATGTAAAGAAAGGACTTGCTAAGCGACTTGGGAAACAGAATTGTGTCGCTAAACTCGATTTGTCGTTATACCCAAGGTAGTTATATCCAATCTCCACTGTATCATGGCACTAATACAGCAATGCTCACGAAGGGTGTGTCCCGTCCCTGGACGTGACAACTGCTGCCTGATTGTCCTGTGACAGCAGGGTCTACGTAGTGAGCAGCACTGTGCTGAGCTGTCACTCACTTTTGATACAACGTGGTTTGGCCAGTGTCTTGTCCCACCTGCTTAGCATGTAGGTTTAGCGGCATGCACTTTCCCACGTAGGTGACATGCCTTCTTGGCATGGCACATCATGTGACCCAACGCCGGGACCTGGTCAGGTAGGTTCTTGCGTTGTAGGTTCCTGGAAGTGTTTCACTTCCTGGAAATGTCACTCCAGGTGTTGTGCAAAACCACATCACTACGACGTTCTACAGGATTCCATGATGCCTCGGCACTTCGTGCAAAGAGCCAAGACTAGCAAGAGCTAAGTGCAAAATAATGAAGAGACGAGACGTGTGCAAGAGCCAAAACCGTCACCATGGTCACCGTGCCAGGTTAAGGGTATCACGCAAGCAGAGCAAAATATACAGCAGAACCTACCCATAAGAAGCCACTGAGCAATGGCACTTTGGGTGAGTGGGCTCACCAACTTGACCCTCATATACGCACATTGTACTCTGACGTGGGTGAGCGGACTCCCCACATCCCAATTTGGTCTTTCTTCTCTCCATGTATTTCTTTCTCTTTCTTCTCGAATGATTACCATACTTGTATTCTGCTTTCCTGCTAACTGGCTGCGCATATTCCGGTTTTACCTGTTCTAGTATTTTCTGGAATTACCTCGTACCATTCTAAGTAATGATCACGTGCATGCGTCGCCATATCTCTAAACGCGCTCTAAAAGAAGCTCTCATTCTCTCTTTTACTTCAGTCGAGATTCGGTTTCAGCTCTCTGTCTGGGTTTTACTTTGAGCTCGGATCATTTGAATGCCTACTCACAATGTGAAAGGAACAGTCTTTGTCGGTTGATCGTGTGGGTTGAACTTGGACCAAGCCAGCTATACTGGTTGGCCCCTGGGTTGTGTTGGGCTTGTCACGAGGCCACACGTCTCTTTAGTCGCCGCTCGTAGTGATTTCCGAGAGATACGGTCACTGAGTGCAGGGATTCGACAGGTGCAACGAGGGTTCGACATACATGTAGATTTACATGACTTTGTACATAGAGACAAAGAAGAGCAGTACAGGTACACGCACGTATAGTTTGTGCATACACAGCAATGATGTGGTTGTATTGCCGGTATGCTCAGCCTGCATGGCAACAATTGTACTTATTGCCATTATTGGTCGAAGATCTGATGACACGGCGAGCAATTTCAAAAATTGCAAGGTCAGTTGTGTCAAATTCGAAGGGTTTAATTTTGTTCCTCTGCTCCATTCTAGCAATGAAACTGAGGCTGATAGGGCCAGGCATCTTCACCAGAATAACGCTTTGCCAAGTATGGTCAGCTCAGCCCTTCGTTGCCTTGTCTCTCTTGCTACTGTCTGTAGAGTGAGTTTTACGACGCCGGAATCCGCAAAACAAATTAGAACTTTGATGTAGATCCGGAGAAAATATCACCGCTGTTGCTTTTCTTCATGCTTCAACTGCATTATTAGGATGACCACACTAGCTGGAAATAGGCCACATCTTTGTTAGAAGCAGCAAAATTTCAGTACGTGAAGCCATGCATGCAGTGGGTGCTGCTTGTGTTGCACGCTCACCCCCAAAACTGCATTCAAAACATCGTTGCAGAGGGGGTGCGTTCAAAACATTGGGGGGGGGGGGGGGCGGGCGGCAACGGGACCCCTCCCCTCCCCCCCCCCCCCGAAAGCGCCTGGTGAGGAAGAGGGGAAGAAGAAGGATGCCTGTGGAAAGTAATGTTCAACAGGCATGCTGTTGAAGGTAATAGAGAGTGAGGAGAAGCAGGGGCCTATATAGCCAAGAACTTTGTCAACTGGACCCATGCTACATCTATCAAAGCAACATTAGAGAGGAACTGTCACCAACAAATTATTTGCCTTATTTCATGGCCTTTTGGCTCCTGATAACGATGGTGTACTTTGTTTTTCTCTACAACAATTGGAAAATTGTATAGAGTGATGTCATGCCGGACTTGGACTCCACGCGCATATTCGTTGTCCAAACGAAGTCGGTCCGTGTGCTGTGATGGTTGTGCAAGCTGTGCCGTTGTATGGTGTGCATGTGCCTTGTGAACTTGGAAAGCGGAGCTGCGCTGATGTGTACGTCGTACGCAATGAGAACACCAAAAGGGAGAAAACAAAGCTAACAGCTTTTTGGCGAAGTTTTGTAGTACTCGGGTACTTCCTCTGCGAGGCGCTAGGTCTTTGTTTTGTTGTGCGATCAGGAAGGAGCGGAAGGAGTGTTTTTGTTGTTGTGAGTGTAACAAACATGCCTAGCACTCGTAACTGCTTATGGTGAATCAAATATTGTGATGTTGCTCAAGCGGCTCTGAAATGAAAGATGGAACTCGTCCTCCGCATCTTCAGCTGATTCATCCATATCAGATCAAGCGCCTTCACTTAGCTGCGGTCCCTTAGGGCTCGGTTTGCTGGTGTCATTGCTGGCTGAAGGTGGCATGGTGCTGTTTTCGGCACAAGCACTCTTTCTTGTGTTGTTCCCAAAAGAATGCGGCCAAGATTACGTACCGTAAAACCTAGTATAAGCGACCTCTTGTTTTAGCGACCACCTGCGTTTAACGACCGTTTTTCCATGCACAGACAGTTCTACACAGAAACCGCACTGGATACAGCGACCACCTGCCTTGCGCGACCAGCGACCGACTTTAAGTGTATCAGTGCCATATTGGACCTGCACACAGCGACCAAAACTAACCAAAAGTGCCATCTTGGCTAGCAGCATTGACTGCAACAGGGCTGAAGTGCGCCCTGATGCAAGTCCATGCAGCCTCTACAAAAGTGACAAGTGACAGTGCAGGATGCACTGCATGCACTTGAGTGATCTGTGCTTCGCCTGCATGAAAGTTTTCTATGCTCCACGCCAGTCATTATGAGTACAATCATGGAAGTACAATCATGGAATACATGTAACAGTTATGTGCATGATCCGATGTGCCACGAATGTATGGGACCTGGTTCTAAAGACCACCTGGCTTTAACGACCGCTTATGCTTGCACCGTGGGGTGGTCGCTTACCAAGTTTTACTGTATTGTTTTATGTGAGGATTTCCCATTGTGTGAGCCGTCCTGATTATGAGGCTTCAGCACAAGCACGGATAGCCGCGCCAGTCTGGTTGTTCTTTTCACTTTCCTACTCTTGTTAGTCCTCAAGCTGAAACCCATGGCTTGATCTTGGGTTCACTGAATTGTGTGTGAGTGATATGGTCCAGAATAGGTCTGGCCATACCTACAGGAAAGAAAGTGCTGTGCGACAAGTTCCATTTACACCTGGCTAAACACTGTGCTCCACTTACATCTATCAAGAGTCAGCTCGAATGTCTTTGAAGTGCTATCGCGACTGTTTCCACCGGTGCAAGTAAAGTTTCCGGCTTGAAGGGTGGATGTTAGTGTGAAGGCAAGTGTGGCGTTCATTCCCACATTGGACTTCTGCAAATTCAAGAAGCAAGAAGAAAATGCACGCCATGTTGAACATTCAGAAATACACCAGGGTTAACATCTAGACTGACACAACTGACACCCACTGCGAACAACAAATTCAATCCTTTTAGTTACTTGAATTTTTTAGTGATAGCTAGCATGCCGTCCTACCGGTAGGACCCAAGAAATCGCGCTGCAAAAGTGCTTTTGGTTCAGAAATTTCTTGAAACCATTGTTGAGATGAAGTCTTTGTCAGGCAAAGTAATGGCGCAAAATGCAAGGCTATGTCCAGTGCATTGCATATGTGCAATTTTATCAATTGTCAAAATGACCACACATACTCCTGGTCGGAGGGCTAGCAACTCTGTCCAAAGTGAATTTTGACCATGGCACATCAATCATGGTGAGGTCCTAATGTTTGTATTAGCCTGCCAAGGCAGTGGAATGCATAATTCCATACTCCATTTCCATGGTTACCATGGGCTGTTACCATGGAATTTCGTAGTATGCCTTGTGTGATCACGTCTAAAATCTGTGGACTCCTTCATTAGCCCGTTAGCAACAGTTAAGGGTCAAGTTTTAGGTCAATGTTAGAACAGAGGCCATGCAGCATGTCTGTGTATGATTGTCCTACCAGTAGGTCCTACCAGTAGGACCAAGGTCTATGCAAGCTATGAAATTTAGTAGTACACATAATTTTCAGCAATGCAGTGAAGTAAAATAATACAGTGCAGTAAAAGGAGACACTGAAACCGGGATTCGAGTTTGTTGTCTAGCAAACCCTACATCTGCTCTATGCTAATTTTCAGCACATCACGTGGCTCATTTACTAATAGTTTTCTACAGTAAAACCTAGGCAGAGCATGAAATAACGGTCGGACATCAGACATGTTCCGACCGTTTTCGGCAGTTGTCCGAATATCCGTGTGACGGACAAAGTGTCCGATCGATCCGAGACAAAAAATACTCCGTGGGCATTTCAATGCACGTGGGCGCAATCAAACTTTCGTTGCCCTGCCAAATCTTGATCAAATTCAACAATCAAAGGGTCTAGGTGGTGGAGAAAACTCTCTGCTATTGCCTCGAACAAGTCCGAAGTCTCTCTGGTCAAGTTTGAGTGAGCGGTGATCGATCGAACATTATGAATTTTCTGCGTTGCGTGCTGCGAGTCGAGTCAGCTGGGGCATAATCGGTTGGGCGAATCCTGAGCCAGGTGCGCTCCGAGTGAGCGTGATCATTTGGCTGAACCCGGAGTCGGTGTACTTGGAGTGGACCCCCCCCCCCCATACCGGGTGTGGCTGGAGTGGAAATGGACTTTTGGCGTTTTTGACAGCGTTCACAGAATCTTTGTATGATATGCGTACATTTTGCGTACTACACCCTTGCTTTGTTCGATTGGGCCAGTGTTGCTCAGACCACACCGCCTGGTCGCATTCAGTCCAGATCCGCCAATTGATGACACCCCTGGCCGTATCATTTGAAATTAGAACAGAGGCAGAAAACATTAGAGGTGAAGTGCATTGATTTTCAAGTAGGGTTCAGATGAAAGACAATTCGATATCGATTCAAACCGCAAACCGTACTCGCGCGATTAGAGCCCTCTCTTGAATAGTGCCCTATCTCGAATAGTGCTCCAGTCTCCAAGGGCCAGTGAAAAAATAAAGCCCTCTCTTGATAGTGCCCCCGGTCTTGTAACCAAGATACGTTGCCATAGCGACCAGCGCAGTGATGACGCACGTTCTGCTTAGCTCTGTGAGAGAGAAGGTCGATCACTGCAGAATTGTCACAGTGTCATTTTCAATCGTCTTATTGTATTCATGATGTGAAAGAAGTGCTGTGTTCAATGCTGTTAGTGCCGTGAACTGTTTATTAGTAGTCTTCTCCGTTGTGTATTGGGACGTGACACCGACAGGAGAAAGCTGGAGTGCAGAGACATCAGCAGACAAGCGAAAATAGTGACGAACCAAGTGCTGAAATCTTGGTTGGGACAAATGTTCAGCATTTACCCCAACCAAGGACCATGCTGTTTGCTCTTTCCACTTCTTGAAGATGGATGTGATGCTTGCTGGTGACTCTCCTATCTCTTGTAACATCTTCTGAAGCTAGGTGGGATGACGGGTGGTGGAGATTGATGAACGAAATAATGTCATCCATTTTAAAGTTTAAAGGAAAAGGACATATGGAAACGAGTTAAGAGTAACTCTCCACCACTGTAACTAGATACTATATACAGTCAGAAAGTGCAACAACTAGGCACAAAACTGACACTCTCAGTACTCTGTCAGTTTTGTGACTAGTTGTTGCACTTTCTGACTGTATATAGTATCTAGTTACAGTGGTGGAGAGTTACTCTTAACTCGTTTCCATATGTCCTTTTCCTTTCTACTTTTATTATTGGCTCAATACCCGAGTTTTTAAAGTTTGCTGAAAATTCTCAGGAGAGATGGCAAATACCAAGCATCTTCTCCCGGAGGAACCATTTCCTAGGCTACAGTCAGCCTAGGGAAATGCGGGAGAAGGCTGATAAGCATTTCACGACACAAACAGCATTGAATACAGCACTTCTACGTACATCCTTGCATAGTCAATGAGGACCCGGCTTGCTACGAGTGTCCGGAAGTGGTGCTAGGCATTTGTCTTGTCTGCTTTGTTCTTGGCGTTTTTGGTTCCAAGAAGTAAATGTTCTTCCTTCCATGTTTTTCTATCATTTATCATCCCTTTGTTGCATTTCTGTATATTAAACTTAGGTCAAGAATGTATTTTACTCCAAAACATGACTGCGTGACGTGTTCAGCGGTTAGACCAAAATGTGTTCACTTTTTGGTTAGAGTGAAGAATTCTAAAAACAGGTTTAGGAAAGTGTGTGTATGTGTGTGTGTGTGTGTGTGTGTGTGTGTGTGTGTGTGCATATATATATGAGCCCCGGCCAGCGAAAACCAGCACTTGTGTACTTGATATCAATCATCAAAATGTGACGTCAAAGTTTGGGACGCGCAATGAGCTGGCTTTTGAAGATTCTTTTTCGATCGAGTGGGTGTCTTCATTGTCAAAGGAGTTTCAAGTGTCTTCAAATGAGTCTGGTCAATCGATTTTAGCGCTAGGTGAGAGAGCTCGTCAAACGGAGGTTGAGTTTAGACACAGCGATGGCGACAGGTGTCGCGACAAGGACTTACATGTACAGTGGTGGTCAAAAGTTTTGACCCACCATGCAGATTTTTCGAATTCTGAAGGTTTGGGCTGTAAGCTACTAAATTTTTGGTCGAGGACCTCTGAATCAGGCTGAATAGTGAAGTAGAAATGAAAAATGCTGAAAGACGGAGTCATCTGGGGACTACTGTGGTCAAGTATATGTAAAAGGTGGGTCAAAACTTATGGCCAACGCCCGCACTATCATAAACCGCCAACAGGATACACGGAATAGTGTGATTTCTAAAAAGTATTCAACTAAACTAAAGTCTAGAAGTCAGTCCTGGCCTATTCCAGATACATCCACCACTTTGTAACCCCTCCCTTGGCCTTGATGATCGCTTGCATACGCTGCCGCATTGAATTGACGATCTTCTTGCGCTCGTGAGGAGAAATCAACTTCTATGCCTCCCGGCACACTCGCCACAGCTCATACTGGTTTCTGGGGGTGATTTCAACATCGTGCTGCTTCAGCCCAGCAATTTTGCAGAGATTCTCAGTTGGATTGAGGTCAGGTGGCTGCAGGGGCCATGTCAGGACGGTGATGCCGTTCACCGTCCGCCGCGACTCCGTTCTGTTTGCGGAGCGTTTGCGGCCATAAGACACCACCCACACCACCCACAAGCTGCATCATGCTCAGCAACATCATGTTTTCGGATGATGCGAGGTACTGGTCCGCATTCATCGTATCCATCACCCGGCAAATGCGCGCTACGCCGTTGCTGGCCATGGCTCCCATACATTGATATTGCCGTCGCGGCGCTTCACAGTTTTGCGGGTACATGTGCCAGCCAGAGCCTATCCTGTCCACCTCCTGACGTAAACTGCATCACCAGAGCCCTTGAGGTTGATTTTAGACTCATCAGTCCACAGAATTTACCACCAGTCATCACTGCTCCAGTCCTTGTGCGTCTATACAAATTTAAGGCGTTTTGCCTTATTCACAGCACTGATGAAGGGCCATTTGATGGCCATACAGCCACGTAGGCCTGCTCTCTGCAACTTGCGTCTCACAGAACGCACAGAAATCGCGTTATCACCGTCGCTCACCATCTCAGCTCGCAGGCAGTGATGGATTTGAGGCGATTCTCCATTGACTTCATGATATGGTGGCGATCTTGTCTTGCACTGGTCTCTCTTGGTCGGTCTGATCGAGGTGAAATGTAGTCAATTTTTGTTTCCTGACAATTCTACGTATCGTAGGATTACTCAAATCCAACAGAGGAGCGATACCACGCCAAAAGAGACCGTCAACACTCAGCTTCACGACCATTTCCCTCACATCCTTGCTAATCTGACCTCGGTTCACTATCCTGGCTGAAAATACCATCTCCGTCGTCAAAATAATCAAGTTTGATATCGCAAACTCTCAAAGTGAGAAGTCAAGTGTTGATTTTCAACTTTCCCGGCACGTGCATCAGCCTGACAACTTTTTTGAAACCGTACGGTACGGTAGAGCAAAATTTGGTCACGTGGCCATAAGTTTTGACCCACCCAAATCATCGTGATCCATCACAAATCTCAGTTGACAACGGATTCTTGCAAATTTTAGTGTCCTTGCCAAGTTTCAATCGGCTTTGGCCTCAAAGAAGTCAAAGACGGCGTGTTTAGGAGCCAGGCTGAGCTGTACTGACGATTCCATGGGGTGGGTCAAAACTTTTGGCCACCACTGTAGGTCCAGAGTTGTCAGCGTGAGACTCCCTGTACGAAGCGGCGCTGAAAGTTAGTTCGCGATCGGAATTATTTCTTTGGTGGCGATCTCGCTGAGTTTGTCCAGCAGTGGCGAGTCTCATCATGATTCATAGGAACGAAGAGCCCTCATAAAATCGACACTGGATACTGGTGGCGACGATAGTCAGTGCTGGAGTAATAGCGACTGCGAGGAGAAGCTGAATGTCGACCCGCTGAGCGATCCGTATTTCTACATCGACAACAATGATGTTGCAGACACTGATGGAGGGCTTCTCACGGCGCAAAACAGAGCGTAGTATTATCAGTACTCTACCTTGCCAGACGACGCCAAGCTGGCTGCTGCCTGTGCTGAGAAAGGGGATTCCTAAAAAGTCAAACCGGCTGAACGCTTTGGGGCAACATCTTCACGTGCTACAAAACGCGAATATTCGCTCATATCATTGAAATACTTGAAGTACTATTATGCTGAAATCATGGTATGAGTGAAAGTGTGCAAGGGAGTGGATGTCAGTGGTATTGGTCAGTACATCTATCAGTATGGCAAGCTTTGGGACAAAGCTCAAACTGCCAGCACAGAGTTCCCTGAACACAATTTGGAAGGCCAGCCACCAATCATCGTTTTGCACTCTGGTGTTGTAAAGAAGGTAGTGGTGTATACAGAATATCGTCACACTTCTGAACTACTGGGGCCTGCAGCACCAAGAGGGCAAGCCTGACTTGCATTCTATTTACTTACATGTACCTGTTCCACATCACAATCAGAAACTGTAGGATCAACTTGCATGGAGTCACTGGGCATGGATGCTGCGCCAACTGTACGGAATCTTGACCTGTGTGACTTCAAACTCTATTTTACACGCTTTCGCTTATCAGATTGTCACCAAACTTGATGACTTGAATGATTAATAGTGTAGAATCAATCTCGAGCGAAAAAATAATTTTTGAAAAAATTACACATGTTCAGGTTTCTGCTGGCTGGGGCTCATATATGTGTGTGTGTGTATGTGTGTGTGTGTGCGTGCGCGCGTTGCCTTGTCGACGATATTGTACGGTTGTGAGACCTGGGCAATGAAGGTCATGGATGTTCGTCGGCTTGCAGCCTTTCACCACTGCTGCGTTCGCTTCCTGCTGGATATTCCCGGAGCAACACAATGGCAGGAGCACATCTCCAACACCACTCTCCTTGAACGAGCCAAGGTACAGCCAATTGAGGAGACACTGAAAACACGTCGACTCCGCTGGTTAGGCCATGTTGCTCGAATGGATGACTCCCGTATGCCAAAGTGTATCCTCTTCGGCGAACTGGACAAGACCTGGCCACGTCATGGGCCCGGAAGCGGTGGCAGGACAATGTTGTGTCTGACATGAAGGACCGCCAGATAGTGGACTGGTACGACCTCGCCCAGGATGGCAGAGAGTGGAGATCAGCATGCGACACCATTCCTGCAACCGATGTCGTCACCTAAGACTTTGTTTGCACTTGTGGAAAGCGCTATTGCCGTCGCCAGCACTTGACTCGCCACGCCCGATTCTGCTCGTGACATGAACACTGTTGGTCCACTCGGGACCTGCTATCATCTCCGGATGGGCATATGGTATTGTATTGTATTATGTGTGTGTGTGTGTGTGTGTGTGTATATGTGTGTGTGTGTGTGCGTGCGCGCGCGTGCGGGCGTGTGTGCGTGTGCACATGTGCGTGCATGCGTCCGTACGCGCGCGTGTGTGTGTGTGTGTGTGGGGGGGGGGGGGGTAGTCAGAGGCAGTCAAGGCAACCATACAGTAGTCATCTTAGAACACATAATCATGACCTTACCACCTGGGATACGGTGAAACTTTGATTTGTCTGAATTTGTTTACGATTCGGACCATTCCAGGTAACTGAGTTGCGGATGAGACCAATGAAGGCACACTGGAACGAGATCTTGTCACCAAAGTTGGCCGTTGTCTTCTGCAACTCTGGCTCGGAAAGACTTGGCTTAACTGTGCAATGAAAAATAGTCAAATGAAAGTTACTCGCAACAATTGGTGAAGAACTTAACGGCAAAGTTAAATGCAAAATCTACTTCGGAAGTTAAGTTTTGCAAGGATAGACCCGGATGGAGAGCCAATGATCAACTTATAGTACAGAATAGGACGTAAGAACTACAAGCTACGCTGTAGTGTCCACTAACACCGCCAGTTACTTGACAACCAGCTCATGTGATAAAACTGCATAACACTGGCCGACTGACTGATTGATAGATAGATAGGTAGACACACACACACAGAGAGAGAGAGAGAGAGAGAGAGAGAGAGAGAGAGAAAGCAAGTGAGGGTGAGAGAGAGAGTGACTGAGGGTGAGCAAGGGAGGGAGATACTTCCTCCGTTAACAAAAACTTCGTGATGGATTTATGAGGGACTGGTTTGGGCACAAACTGCCATGAAATGAGTCGCGATCACTTTCTCGGCCTTCCCTTGCATGCCATGAAAGAGGTACGATGCAAAGAAAGCGACCTTTCACATCAAGCCAAGCAAAATCGATGGTTGTGCTGTGGCAAGATAGGTGTTGACAGTCATGGCGAGCGAAACTGAAATACCACTTCTCCGAGGGGATAATGCGCTGCTTGGCCCCTCTACTACTCTAGCATTGAGTTTGAGATTGATAGAGTGTTGGAGAGCGATGGAATGGAGCAGCGAGCCAACACAATGATCGAGTGAACAAGGAGCTGCTCTGAACCCACGGCGCAATGAAAAAAATCTGAATTCAAGTTCTTTTTCAACCTGCAGAAAGCCCAGATTCGAATGCTGATGACCATGCATTCTTTCAGAAGTCTGCAGTCCGACGCGAGGCTCGTGGCTAAGGAAAGTCGACTGGACTTGCTAGCCGCTGCCGTTCAGTGCTGGCAGGAGTATCCATCAGAGAAAATGGAATCAGTTAGGGAGTCGTAAAATATTTTTACGACTCCCTGGTGGAAACGAGTAATCGCCAACGCGGCGGATCACGCAGCTTGAAAGCCAACTTACTTGAAAGACGGCGACATCACGTTCAAGCAGTGTGATCAAAGAAGCTGAGGCAAGGCTGAAACGAGCTGAGCAATGACTCGGGAGAGATGACGACTCGCGTGCAGCAGATGGCGACAGCGATGCAGGGTCAAAAATGAGTCGAGCGAAAGCGAAGCAAGCAGAACTCTCTGCTCATTCTGCCAGCAGTTTCTCCTGCAAAGACGCTGTACATAGGCTTAACTACCTTCGTCCAGTGATTTGCAGTCGATACAAACTGTTCTTGACCTGTTCTTAGTGTTTTCAAATCCATCAAAATCCATCCGTGACGATGTTTTTGTTAACGGAGGAAGTAGATAGATCCTTTATGGCTGAAACAGCTTGCTGTCTACAGGATTGGGTATTACGCTCTCGACTTTCGTCTTGTTGAGCACTCTCCGTAGGCTGCTCCAGTGCTGCTGCATCACGCATTGCCCGCTACGTTTCGTAGTTTGAGCACTCTGGCGCTAGAGCGACGAGCTATCCTAATGTCTGTGGTGCCTCCTTTGCACCATGGCTGGTAGCTCGGCCTATTTTGCTCGTAGCTGTACTGATGAGGGCTTTATGGCCGAAACAGCTTGCTGTCTACAGGATTGGGTAGATACATAGATAGATAGATTGAGATAGATAGATAGATAGAGATAGATAGTTATGTGCTCTTGATAACGTCCCTGCCCGCACTGAACCGCATGAAAACCAAGAGTTGGATTTCCCTTCGACACCACCATACTAAATATGACAGGTGACAGGGGCAATGAAATCTACAGAATAAAGCACCAGGAATGGAGGTTGCTGCAAGGCCGGAATGAGACAAAACGAAAAAGAAAAAATCGTTCTAAGAATAAGGCCAATAAAATCTATCTGGATCGAGTGATGTGCACTGCCCACACGTACAGCAGCAGCCAGAGAACTTGCGGAAGGGTTTGCATGTAATGAAATACCAACAGACATATACATAGACACTGACACAGACACGCACACACATACACGCACACACATACACGCACACACATACACATACACGCACATACACGCACACACTCCTGCAAACAGACTCTGACACATATACATGTAATACGTGAATGGAGGGGGGGGGGGAGAGGGAGAGAGAGAGAGAGAGGGGAGAGAGAGAGAGATAGATAGAGAGAGAGAGAGTGAGAGAGAGAGAGAGAGAGAGTAGTTAGAGAGAAAGAGAGAGAGAGAGAGAGAGAGAGATGGGAGGAGGAGGGAGAGGTAGAGAAAATAGAGAAAAGGAAAGATGGCATGACCTTCCACAGCTCTGGTAAGCAGCCGCCCCACATCACCCAGTACACGCTGATGTCACTTACCATCACACGTCTGGTCAAATGTTTGAAGCTGGCTATCAGGACAGGTGCAGGTATGACCACCAAGCACCATCCCATCATCAGTACAAACACTGGCTGCTATGCAATCGTGTACGTTGTTGGAACAAGCATTGATGTCTGATAGAGGCAAGGCAAACACAAAAGGAAAATGGCAATGTAAGGTGGTCGGCTGGATAATTTATTGTTTGCCTGTAAGTATCCTGAGAAAATGGCACAAGCACGTCTCTGTCATCAATGTCCCTTGTTGCCCCATCATTTTCTAAACATGGATCAGTCTCTGTAGGTTTTCTGCTTAGAGACTTGACCCCAGTATGCATTCATTCTATAAGTGTCATTTCTCATTGTCTCCATTTCTGTAGGCCTTGGCTCCAGCTGTGCATGGATACTTACAAAACTGGATCAAAGTGGACCAAAAGTCAGGTTTGCCATGATTACAGCTTGACAGCAACCTAGAACTGCCCTGTTTTACGTGTGACTTCATGTCTGCATTTTTCACTACTTACCATAGCAACCACCCTCTCTCAGTCTTCCAGTTCCGGCAAATCCACGTGGGCACGAGCAAGTATGACCTCCCATTGTGTTTGTGCAGATGGAGTTTTTGTCATCACACTCATTCATATTAGAGGAGCATTCGTTGATGTCTGGAGCCACCCCAAAGAACACGAAATGTGATGCATACATACACACGCCCGAGACAAAGTGGAATCCCATTCGCATCCCATGTTTCTTCCTATACTTCGGATAGCACATGTCACGGCTCAGTCATGCGGGTATGTACTAAAAATACACCAAAGGAGAGAAATTTCCTGAAAATAAGTTCAAGTGCAAAACGCCCTCATCTATAATGCTGTAGGCCCAAAAATTGCCGCTCAATCCAGAAGAATACAAGACGTATATTTTCTTTGTACAGCAGATGTTTCGATGAGATGCAACTCATTGAGAATAGTATCATTTATTCCCGTAGCTATGCAGAAGACGTAACTTCAGTAACGTCTGGCGCTAGCCAGGGTCCACACGGCTTTAATTTGGTATTTGTTTGTTTGTTTGTGTCACGCCTGGCGCTATCCCGTATCTGTCCCGTACTGTACCGTACCATCAAACACAGCTGGCCACGAACAGCTGGCCACAATATTCAAATAGGGCTTTCAAATGCAAGATCATAACGTGAAGCAACTTGGAAGAATTAGTATGTATGCGAAGTGTATCGGGGAATGCATGTAGGGCGATAGTGCGGGTTCGAATCCCAGAATATGCCCGGAAAAAAATAGGAGATTTGAAAAATGTATAACATCCCTATGCTTTTTTTGCCGTCATCAAGGCGGTAGACGGTGTCGTATTACCCTCGATCGTACCTGTCCCATACCTATCCCGTACCGTACCGTACCATCAAAGACGGCTGGCCACAATGCATATTCAAATAGGGCTTTCAAATGCAAGATCATAACGTGAAGCAACTAGGAAGAATTAGTATGTATGCGAAGTGTATCGGGGGATGCATGACGGGCGCGCGATAGTGCGGGTTCGAATCCCAGGTTATGTCTTTAAAGGGGAAGTATACCCTAAAATCAAATTTTCACCAGTTGTAGTCTTCGGGGTGCTGAGTCGAATGGTCTTGGTCCGAGGAAGCTGAGACGCTCCCTTCCTACTTGAATCCCAATCGAACTCGCGCACTTCCACCGAAACTGGGTGACTGCGCCCTACTAGATGGGGATTTGTATGCAAAATGTCACTAAAAGCGCCATTTCGTTCTTATAAAAGCACGGATGACCGCGATTGGCCCATATATTGTAGTCTTTTGGACGCTGAGTCGACTGGTTTTGGTCCGAAAAAGCTGCGATGCAGCGTTCCTCCTTTATTCCCAATCGAACACGGCTGAACAAGCGGTCACGTGCTCCTGCGTACACCAGTCACCTGGTCACCGTGCCTGCAGGGTACAACTTACTAGCCTGTTTGACCTTTTTTGGGTGCAGTCCTGTCACTCGAGTTGACCTCGAGTTGAACCTTGGTGTGAAAGTTGTCGCCTGCTGGCGCGGTGACCAGGTGATTTGGGCACCCAGGAGCACGTGACCGCTTCTTCAACCATGTTCGATTGGGAATAAAGGAGGAACGCTGCATCGCAGCCTTTTCGGACCAAAACCAGTCGACTCAGCGTCCAAAAGACTACAACATATGGGCCAACCGTGGTCATCCGTGCTTTTATAAGAACGAAATGGCGCTTTTAGTGACATTTTGCATACAAATCCCCATCTAGTAGGGCGCAGTCACCCAGTTTCGGTGGAAGTGCGCGAGTTCGATTGGGATTCAAGTAGGAAGGGAGCGTCTCAGCTTCCTCGGACCAAGACCATTCGACTCAGCACCCCGAAGACTACAACTGGTGAAAATTTGATTTTAGGGTATACTTCCCCTTTAAAAAAAGGATTTTTTTAAAGAATTTCTAACATCCCTATGCTTTTTTTTGTCTAGGTCATCAAGGCAATAAAGCATAGCGTAGGGCCCTGAGCTTCCAAGCTCTCTCGTCACTCCCTTAGTATTGACTCCCATAGATTTTTGCTATACCTAAGCAGTCAAATATTCCTGCATATTTCACTCCTTTAATAGGACTATATTGACTGCTTATATTTTACTCCTTTTTAGGGATCGCACACAGACTTTGGCTAGTCGTGATAAATCTAATATTGACTTCGTACTTGACCAGTATAGGAAATAAAACCTCGTAAAAGACCTCGGCTTTTACTTGCTATACTGACCCCGTACTCAGTCAATATTGGATACATATTTGAAGTACCACTGACAATCAACAGGAAAGGTCAATCTATATGCAAGTGGCTATCTCGGAGGGAGGCAAAAAGCAAATCACTATGTCCTGTATGTATACATTGTGTAACCAATCCCTTCTACAGCGTACTTCAAAAGACATTCTGCCTTCTATTGATATGCTTCTCTGATCATGCACATTCTGAGATTTTAAGTACTCCCACAGGGGGAAAATATCACTGCGAGACTTTTCGAAGCATATTGACAGCACACATGGCAACATACACACCGGTTCATCAGCCCACTTGCTTACCATTACAGTTTTCACCAGTATACCCAGGAGAACACGAGCACAAGAAAGACCCTACCGCGTTCTGGCACATGCTGCGGCCAGTTGGACAGTTGTGAGTGCCTCGGGAACATTCATCCACGTCGTAGCACCGTCCATAGCTCTCTGTGAATCCAGTGCGGCATTCACACATGTATCCGGTGTTGGGAAGTGGGATATCGGTGCACACATACCGATCAGAGCAAGGCTCATTTTCGCAGCTGTTCAGATCACCCTCGCAGTTAAGACCAGTGCGTCCTGGATATCCAGAAGTAAAACACAAAATGAAACAAGATGACTAAGGATGCATGCAGACTCAATAGAGTCTACACCACAAGTGGATAGGGAAGTGTTAATTAATCTTCTTTTCTCACTCACAAGTCAGTACTGCACACATACGCACACACTCACACACACACACACACACACACACACACACACACACACACACACACACACACACACACACACACACACACACACACACACACACACACACACACACACACACACACCACACTCAGCACAGAATAAATAACTGCGGGGACAGCCATAGCAAGGCTGGTTGCACTCTTGTGTCCAGAACATAGACAGAAAAAACATCCAGCGAAAAACAACACCCCGTAGAGTGACAGCGTTGTACAAGGTGAATCATGCAGAAAAGCACAGCAATCGACAGAGCACCCGCACATTCCACGCCTCGCACAACTTAAAACCTATATTGTAGCAGCAATATTGAGAAATCTATCAGAGAGAGTAACCCAGAACTGTCACTATCATGACCCGTGTGTGAAACCGTACAAAGCTCCTCATTGGGAGGGAGGGTGGGAAACCAGCTTGGAAAGCAAGAAAACAAAAGATGAGGAACTGCGGCGTCCCAGTACGCCCAAAACTGTCGGACCTCGGTCCCAGACCTGTTCGTTCGAAAAGAACAACATTTCTGGTATATTTCGTAAAACTCAGCCAACAAGAAATGACAACTTATGTTTGCTTAATTCAAAATCAGATGTAGAGCCAAAGTAATCATGGATAAAAGGAAAGGACATGTTACGAGTTACGGCTAACCGTCCACCAACGTAGCCAGATCATATACAGTCAGCGGGTGCGACAAAATGGCACACAACGGGCAAGGAGTGCTGAGACATTATGCCATTTTGTCGCACTCGCCAATTGTATACGATCTGGTTATGTTGGTGGATAGTTAGTCATAACTCGTAACATTTTTTTCCTTTCTTTTGCTAAATTCCTCTTTAATATGATTCCATACCACTTTCATTGGGCACTTGGGGTTGATATTTGCACACACATTTCATCGGGTGTCCTGTCACAATAGTATAATAATAGTGTTGCATCCTTGTGCTCAGCGACTGGACTTGGGAGTCAATAAGAGCGGCAACAACTCAATAACAAGTCTGGTCATCTCCACGATGAGCCCAGCACTACCAGTACTACTAATACAAGTGCAATCTGATGGTTTGAACATGGCATATTTTGAACGCGTGTAAGGAATCCTGTTACCGGTAAAGCAAGGGATCGCACTTCTCTATTTACAGAGTTATCCTCTGGTGCTCTATTCATAAGTGCTAGCCATTCAGTATTGACCTTCACTGATGGGATCTGTAAGGCCGACACAGCAGTACGGGGGAATGGTTTTGTCGATACTATGTACAACAACTTGGAGTCATGTTGCTGGTGTGAATGAGGCTGGTCAGTGAGCACATGGTGGAGTTTGAGCTAAATCAATGATGAGCCATCCAAACGCTGCTTTCCTAGTATCAATATACATGTACCTCTTAAAAAGAACTTTTTACAGGACCGACTTCAGCCAATGCGATTCCCACATAATAGTTTCTAATAATTCAAAACTCAAAATGGCCAACACTGCCAATTTAGATGCCATAGAAGCTGCAGCTCCTACAGCAGTGGAAGTATAGTGGGTCAGATACACCAAACGCAATGCCTGAATATTCAAATACTGAATCCACGTTACTCTAGTTCCAGGTCACGAGTTCCCATGTGTATAGTTTGGATGGCAGCATAATATACCAAAGGCCCAGCTTTATCATAAACTCACCTGCATCACAAGACAAACAGTCAAGCTGAGTAAATCCAACTGACAATTGATCGGCGGCCGGAGGTTGTTTGCAAATCCCGTAGCACCCACAAAGCGTGAGAGGAATCGTCCTGGTGTCTGTCTCATTATTACTGTCTGTTGCAGTGACTTGCAGCACTACACTACCAGTGGGGCGTCTTTCAGCAGGAGTCCAAGTCAACATCAATGTGTTGGATTGCATTTTAAAAACGGTTACATTGATGCCAGTGGCATTATGTGTAATGCTTTCAATGTCCGCGCCAGTTGCAGTCGCCATGATCGTAATGCGGCTAGTATTAGTATATGTACCGTGCAAGGCCGATGGAGTCCACGAAATGAGCGGTGGAGTACGGGCTGGTATCAGAAAACACACACACACAAGAACACAGTGGGACCATTGTCATTAGGTTTAGGCCTGTTTTGGAACTCCACTTTAAATAAAGCCAAACAACAAACAAACAACAACAACAACACAAGCCAGAGTGGGTATTCTTCGCACCTCCTTTCCATCTCCACCACACTCTCTCTCTCTGCAATACTGTGACTCAGTATTGCTAGACAAGGAGGAAAACATCAGGCTCCATTCACACTCAGGGGCGTCGGACATGGTACGGTTACTATGGTATTGACCGTACCACTTTTTGCCCCAGGTACCCCGTGAATAAAAAAATACACTGACCTGGACTCTACATTTTCAAAATGTTCGGCTCAGCCATCCTTCCCCCACGAGTAAACTGTACTTCAGATGGCTGACCGTACCACACTAAAATACCTTCCGACGCCCCTGACACCTAATCTTACGCTATCCCACCTGAAAAACAATATTATGTCACAAGAATGACAATGGCCTACACTAACTGGTGCTTACCAGCTGTCTTGGTGGTACTCTTGAGTTCCTTATTGGACATCAGCGTGCTTTTGGCTAAT